CATTTTCATCAACACTACAAAAACGTAAAACATTGGTACCAATAACACCAGGTACTGACTGTCGGTACTCTGTATCAGGAACAACTAAAATAGGAATAAAAACACAATTTTCTAAAATATCAGGAATAAAAACATCACCCTCAATATAACCTTTGTATGGGATCTTACTTCCACTGGCACCTACACTATCTAATTTAAAATCTGAAATATCTAGTAATTCAGGTTTTGGTTCCAAACTGTTGTAGAAAGACTCTGAAATCAAAGTAACCATTGAACCTGTATCAACTAAAACTTTGGTGTCTACACCACAAATTCTTGCTGTGCCCTCATTAGCCTCACCAACCAACCTATCAGATTAAAATAGATTTGGAGCTCTTGTTGCAGCTGACTTCCTCAGTGTGCCCCACCACAGAGGAGTCTAAACTTTTGGGTCAACAGTTTTAGTGTTGTCCGACCTGTTAAAAGAAGAATTGTCAGAATTATTGGACCTAACATTAACATTCTGTTGATGACCATAGTTTCTGTTCTGTTGTTGACCTCTACCTCTAAAGTTTCCTCTGTTGTAACCTGTGAAAGAATTTCTTTGTTTGTTAAACCTTGAAAAATTTCCTCTATTGTAACCTGAAAAAGACTGTCTATTATAACCAGAAAAAGAATTACTATTATTTGATGAATCTTGCTTCTTGCTGTCTTTGATGTCTTTTTCAAGAGATTGCATCTTGGTCATCAAAGTGTCCATCTTCTTTGAAAGATCTTCAACCATTTTATCCCTAGAATCTGAAATAGGTTGACATTGAATTTTTGTTAATTTATCTGATGTTGAAAGTTCTTGTTCTGCAGCTCTAACTTCTCGCAATAACCTGTTATAATCTGAAATAGCATCATACTTGTGACTAGTTAATAATTTGAGCTTTTCATCATGAAGACCTGTCCAAAATTTAGATCTTAACATATCATTTCTAGATGAGTGGCTGACATGGCCTCTTTCAACTGCAACCTGCAATAAAGTTTCTAATCTACAACCATATGAAGTCACATTCTCTGAGGGCTTCTGACATTCACTATAAAAAGATTGCATGACAGATTCATTTGTTGAAACATTTCCAAACAAAGTATCAAGTTTATTTAAAATATCAGATAAAGTTGCCTTTTCTCCCAAAGGTATGAGAACCTGTCTGGCTGACCCTCTTAATGATTTACGAATAACCTGTAAACAAATATTTTCTGTTAATGAAGAATCTGATAAGAGACATTTAGTCTCATATCTCCAAACATCATAAGTTACATCCCCTTTCAAAGGAGGCACTTCACCTGAAAAGAATGGTAATTTTACATCAACTTTTGGCATCTGTAATGCAGAAGCATCAAAAGAATTCTGAAATGAAGTTTTAACAATAGGTGTACTGGTAGGACCTGGACCTTTCAAAACATTATACTCATCTTTAGTAAGAACCACATAATCACCAGACTTCTTCAAAGCTTCTAAAACTTGAGAAATTTGCATATCAGTTAAAGGATCACTGTCTGGTTTGTCTGCACCTGAAATGAAACTCTTAATTTTCTCAGTAAGTTTTCCACCTGTAGCCATAGTAAAACACTACAAATATAAACACTGAAAATAGAACACAATAAATAAACACAAAACCAAACCACGGGTACAGCTGCTGACTGAAATTTCAAATAATGTGATAAATAAATTCAAATTGACCTGGCCACCATCAAAGCATACAGACTATAGGGAATTTCTCAAAATAGCCTATAAACCCTGAAATTTTAATCACATATACATATAATCACAATATATCACAACACTGACCCAAAACTGTGTCCTCGGAAACAACTGAAATAAAAATACAACACAAATATAATATGCAAATTCCTGTATAAACACTAATACCTCTGTACACCGTACACCTCTGGCTTCTGCATACAAAATAGAAATGACCTCTTCAAAATAAACCGAAAATCAACTTCAACACAAAATAAAAGTACAGCGTTACCTGGTGTGCTCACCAACTAACAGTACACAACACACAGCTGTTACTTGGTGTTATCACCAAATAAAAATACTGTATGTATAAACTATAACGATAATCCGCAAATGTTTAGTATCTTAACACACGAGTAATAAAATGTTTTACACCAATAATTGAAAAATTGCTGAATTTACTTCTTAATTAAAACCTTAAACTGGCTGACTACAATGACAAAACTACTTAACCGTCAGGATAATACAATATAAGTGGTGGCAGCGTTTCAGTCCATAGATTATAAAATATACAAATACTGTTTAATCCGACTCAATAATTATTTATGTAATCTAACGCGAAACTGTCACGAAAATTATGTATTGAACACTGGTATAAATTTACCTAAAACACAAAAGACATCACAATACTAACCTCACATAGCTCCTCTTCTCAATCATACATCTACGGGTAGTGCAAAGAATGTGTGCAAAGATAGGCAAAAAGAGTGCTCGATATTTGGGCAAGAATAATTCAGACCAAGAAAGGGACAATAAGTCAATAAATCAACACCCTAAGTTTTCAAGAAAAAAATACTGTGTTCCTAGAAAAATGCCTATGACGCTGTGTGAAAACAAAACTGATCAAAATACAAATATGTTACCTAATCATCTCAATAATATCTACTGTAAAATGTTACTAACTGGTCAAAATATATCTGATCAAGTAATTACTGAAAAAAATATCTCGCGAAAATATATGAAAAATTTACGTTTTACATGTCAACACAAAAATACACATACCTCAATATTCACACTATACACAATGATATAAAATCCAATAATTTACAAAACAAAAATATTTACAAGGTAATTTAACAGGAGTTACCCGTTAAATTGGGATTCAGAATAAAAAGTTCTGCTCACTGTCCTTTTGGTGACTCATCCCGGCTCCTCGTAACTTCTACACGTCGTAAAAATGACAAAGTTCTATGGAACGCGTTATCCGTCAAGATGATAAAATTCCTCCTTTCGCGCGAAAATCCTCCAAATGAATATGCTAGCTAGCTAGGCTTAAAAAAAATACACTGATGCATCAGATTTAAATACACTTTTCACTTTATCTATTCCCGGCCCCGTGTTCACAAAGAAAAGATCAGGATCAGGATCAAGTGATCCTGATTTTATTTCCATTGTTTTATGTTACTAAAATTTATTGTGTTTTGCTGGAATAAAATAGTAAATATTCAAAATGTAAAAAAACTGCTGATTTGCAAAGAAATCAAACTATTTGGAATAACATTAACAAATAACAAAACAAATACAAAAATATTCGGATCAAAATAAGGATCAATTTTAGGATCAGGATCAATATTTGGATCAACTGTAAAATGTCCGTATCTTGTAAAAATAACAATAAATTTATTCTAAAATTTCATTAATTTGCTACTGCAAGTCCAGTTTTATCAAATTGATTTTAGATATTTAATCTATGAGGATAAAAAATGAAGAATATTAGAGGTTTTCAATTTGATCCTGATCTTGATCCTGATCCTTAAATCTTTGTGAACACGGGGCCTGGATCCTTTCAAATCCTTCCAAAACATCCAAAAATGAATATAAGTGGTGCAACAATACTTATAGATACATCTATACGTCGGCGATCCTAAAAGAACGTCGTCGGGATTCGAATCCTCTTCGTATCCTTGGGGAAATTCACTCCTGATTCTGTGACGAACAGAAAGACCTCCAAAAGATACGGTTCAGATACGGTAAAGACTATTTAAAAGAACCAATGGATATCTCTCTCACATAGAATCATACATAACAAACACACCAATTGGATAAGTTACAAGAAAGAAAGAGTGACCAGTGTTCACGATATTGCACGGGTGAGATCGACAATGTACATCATTGACGGAAATTGTCGATTTTCACCGATTCAATACCGGAAGTTAAACTTATACGATAAAAACTAAACGTAACCGAATAAAAACGCGCGTGCACGATGTTTCCGCTTAAATAAAACTATGGAAAGCCACGGCTGCCATTACTATATAATTTCAATCTGTGACAAATATATAGAGGATATTTGTTTAGTTCAGTGTAAGATCGGAAGATATTTCACCGAGTGAGCACCAAAAGGTATATTTCACGAGTGGCGCAGCCACGAGTGAAATATGAACTTTTGGTGTTCACAAGGTGAAATATATTTCGATCTTACACTAAACTAAACAAATTTTCTTTTTATTACATGCAAAAAAAACGTTTTAAAAAGACATTAAACCTAATACTGAATGAAAAGCGCGCCAAATAATAATACAACGTGACGTCATTTACGACGTCACGTCATTAAGTTGGTACCCAGTACTGTGCACGCTGGTATTTCACTGAAACAACGTAAGGGGCTTAAATTCAAAACAGTGAAATTATCAAAGTGGTAATTTCACTGTTTCAAACAATGAAATTACCAGTTTTATATCACTGATATATTTCTATAAACCACCGAAAAGCATGTAATAAAACCCATCAAATATTCATGCAGTATAAATACTTAATCACAAGTGAAAGCGGGAACTTTTGTCTCTTTTATAAAAACACATATTTTGTATACTTAAATTTATTTAGTGCCATCTTAATATTAATAGAAAATTTCACCTAAACTGATACATTAATGTAACAGTTTTCATTTTCACTGTACTTTTGTGGGATTGAGTTATCAAGAAATTTCCATTTATTTGAATGATGGTAGCAATAAATATAATAACATGCAAATAAGGACATTTCAAGAAAGTAAAACTCTAAAAGATAAATTTAATCAATATTTCATAGCATAACATACCATTTTCAGATAGCATGTGTTTTTAAGTTATATTTAAATATATATTCAACTATGGCTGTATTAATTTATCTATTTTGCTTTGCATGAATTTAAACTTAATTATATGGACATTTATGAAAACATTATGAGAATTAATATTGAAGTCCAGAAATGGTTTTGTTTTCAAGACTGAAGTATAAATTCTATATTTAGTGAAGATTCTAATGCTTCCAAAAAATGGCGGTAAGTTAGAATGGATCCTTACTCTAAAATCTTTTTATGCTTTACTTTCAATTTTCTGTACTTGTTTTGAGATAAAAATTAAAAAAACTAATTAATAATAAAATTTGTTTGTGCCTTTAAATACATTAAATACATCTTTATTTGAAATTTTAGTGGCTTTGAAAGTGACTATAGAAGTATAAATATTATATGATTTTAAGTATAAAATTATGATCTGCAGACCTGTTTAATGTTGATGTTAAGGTATTAAGTAACAAATTCATAATTGATAATATATATCTGTATAGCACATTACCAAGTCGAGTTAAGTAAGTTCCTAGAGCATGACCTGCCTGTAATGAGGATGGCTAGTAAAAGATTTATTAACAATGCATGGTAAAGCATGTCTAGTCCTGAATCAGTCTTCATTTACAGATCATGTTTAACTTTCTACCTAATTTTTAATTGACAATAAACCATCTCTTTTTTCAACCAGGGGGCGCCCTTTTTCAAGATACTACAGCTTCAGGTTGAACTCATGCCCTCTTTGCCCTGATTACCTCCCTTTGTTGTAAACAGAAAATAAATCAGTTTGGATTTTCAGGTTTCATCGAAATGTGCATGTAATTTAAGAAAGTTGTAAACTATGTTTAGTACGGAAAGTCAACATATACTGTATGTACCTACCCTTCTCCCTTTCCAACATCTGATATACACATAAAAAACAGTAAAACATTTGGAAAAAAAAAACAAAAAACACCTTGATAAAATATTATACAGTCATTAAGAAATGTATAAATATAATGTTTCCATGTTTTATATTTTTTCAACTTTATCTACGTTAGGGGTGTCACTGTTAGAAAAAATACTAACCATTTAGAACAGTGACGTAATACTAGTAACCAATCGTACCGGTTTAAACCGATAAATGTGACACCCTTCATCTGCATAACTTCTACCTTTTTACTGACCGATTTATCAAATTAGCTCTGTTTCATCATTTATTCACAATTTTAAACAAATAACATTTAAGAATTGTAAGTTTAAATCATAAAATCTGACTTTATTTTAACTAAAATTAAACTAAAGCATAAAAATCTTAACTAGATAACATTTTTTTGTGAATTTTATTAACTTTTCTCTTCTATTATTTACGAAGTGCAGTTGATGTGAGGTTATTAATTAAACTAAGATAATTATTTAGACATTCACTGTGCTCCTGTCCTATATATTATATAAAGCATATTTGTTTTTGCAAAGATTAATAAAAAATATAGCTTATTTTGTCTCTTATACTGTTATCATTAAGCAGTGTACATGTGAGACACAAAGTCTTCTATTTGTACAGGACCTAAGTTCTATTCCAGTAGTTATTATAAATACCAGAGGAGGCACAGTCTGTTTTGCTAATTTTTGTTGGTTTTACTTGCTCAAATTTCCTGATTTATTATTTGTATGAGGAAGTGTTAAGTGTGTCATTTTTCTGTTTGCATGGTTACGTTTATTGCTTTATATATTTATGTTGAAAAAACAAGATAGACAGGTGCAATATTTGTGAAACAATTTTCCTCATAGACTTCATATAGAATAAATTAATTACATGAATTATAACAATACATTATATACCGTAAGGGTAATGTTTGGTCAATACCAGTTAGTAAATATATATTATATAAAACTGTTATCATATTTTGTCTAGTTTGTGATATAATCTATTAAATATTTTTATCGATAATTTATAAAGTCTTATTAGTAATTTTATGTATATAATTTTTCATTTAAATCAAAATGACTAATATTGTATATGAAAGGTCTATACTTGAATAAAATCCACATATTACATATTAAGATTGATCAGACTATTTTGTTCATTCCTGGGTGATATTTACAGAGAAACATTTTGTTGTGCAAATAAACATTGAAAAATGACAATAAATTTGCTAGGATAAGTTAGTCTTTGGGTAAAATTGTTGTCTGAATAATCAATTACCACTTGGCTGTCATACACTGAACAAATTGTTAGATTTATTTATTGACTGTAGGTGTGATTTTTATATGTTTTTATTCACAGCTCACCAGCTCTTCACAGGTATAGAAGTTTGGGTGTGCAGTAACTGAAATAGCGTGAAGATATTGTTCATTCATGTATCCCTACACACACACACACTCAATAAGCACTTTTCTTACTTTGCCAGCGCTTTTGTTCCATATACTAACATGTTCAATGTGTTTCCAAGATGTAAATTGATATTTTAAGTCTTTGGGTGATGTATTGAGATTAGAGGTATACAATGGCTAGTGAGTGGAGATAAGCGGCAGGCATTTGATTTCTGTTATCATTTTGAATACATTTTGTATATTATTTTGCCTTGCCATCTCTCTTTATCTAACTTTGATCCAAATTGTAACAGTTCATTATGTCATATGTATGTATACATCAACCTGCATTTAGAAGAAAATGAGCAGCTAGGTGAATTTTTGCACCAAGGCTTTTATATTTCACCAAGAAGTATTTTTGCTGTGCAGGTGGGGGGAGGGGGACAAGGTACTGTTAAGAGAAGCTTTTTCTGACAGATGGGAATTTGACTGATATTATTGTCTAAGTCCCTGGAAATAGTCATGAAAACCAATCCCACATAGCACATAGTCACATGGGGAATTTTGATAAATTATCATGCTCAATGGTGGAGATTATGATTTTAAAAAATAAAAAGAGTCAAATTCCCATTGGTCATTCTGCTGCAGCATATGCATGCTTGTTGATTACTCAGGTTTAATACAATTATTTTACCATTCCAGACTGTTCTATAAAACAAATTACACCTATGCTATGAAAATCTCGAAGCTATAGTTATACATATTAGAAAGTTAGGCCCATAACTTTGTTTATGAAAAAAAACAATATAAGCACACCTTGATGTTACTTTACCAGTGTTGTTAACCTGTTGAGCATGCAGATTGTCAAGGATCATATCTATCTACATTTCTTCATCAGATTTAAGATGACCAATGATTGCATGTTTCCAGATTATGTTGTCAACATTTATTGTAAAGAAGGCATTTTCTTGCGTGCTTTTTTAGCATGATCTGTGAACATTTTTTGCTCAGATCTGCTCAGTTACGCTCATGACAGACTGTTCCAGTGAGCAGTCCAACATGCTTACACCAGAAATGCTATATTCAGTAAATTACTGCATTTTCTGTGCAGCTGAACTTCTACTTTATTGACAAAGTACATTCATTTGCATGAGCTTTGCATATATTATGGTGTTGGTATTTTGAAGGGGTCTCGTGTGGACAGGATATTTAATCAGTATCTTTTTATAGAATTGTTTGCAAGAACAAAACTTCCTTTGGAAGCAAAATGCAATTTTCACCTATTTAACATGATACCACATCTGAATATCTTTATTTCATGTACAATATGTAGCAGCAAGCTTTTGTAAGCTTTGAAAATAAGTGATATTGAAATATTTTCTGCTTTGTGTACTATATACATGTACAATTATAAAGCTTGTACATCTTTAGAATACTGCAATAAGTCTTTTTATACAAATATATATGTTTTTAGCTCATCTAAGCACATAGTGGTCATGTGATCTTGAAGGTCCAAAGACAGTCCGTCATCTGTCCTTCATCCACATCAGTTTTACTTCAGGATAGAAATTGATTTAATTAAACAAAAACCACCAGCCTGATCCCATCATACTTACTAGAGTTATGGTCCCTGAAAGGGTAAAAAACAGGCCAATTTAAGGTTAAAGTGTATGCCTTTCAACTGAATGATTGTGAATTCAAATCTTACTTTCAGCATGATCATGTTTCCTTATATGACACCTGGAAGTTCATTTAAACTTAATTAATGTAAACTGGAAAAAACTTGGACAAGATTTAACAAATATGTTTTATTTAAACTTAATGCATTTGTTTTTGTCAATGAATGTTGTTTTATAACAACACAGTGTTAAGTCACTGACAGAGTAAAAACAGGGACGTTGATATATTTATATGTCTCGGAAAAAACAAAACATATTTTGACTGACTTGCAGTGAAGCTTGTAATTGTTTTTGTTTTTAAGCAAAATTGAGTTATTTAATGTTTATCAAAGTAAGCCTGTATAACATGTAAAGTATATGTGTTGATATTAACTGAGTGTTGATGTATTTCAGACGTAATCCATCTCTAACAGGACAGGAACATATAGGAGGATCAGCGGGTGGTGCAACAGAGGCCAGTGCAATCAGTAACAGTGAACTAGAAGCTTTAAAACAAGAAATACTGACAGAAATGAGAAAAGAAATGAATAAAATGAAACAAGAATTATTAGAAGGTATGATAATAAAAGTCTGTGCATTTGACAATCATGTTTTATATGGGCCTGCACTAGAAATTTTGTATGTATGTTTCAAGGATTTAATAGTAAATGAGCTGAATCTAAGGTGTGATGCATGTTCCTAGATTTTATTTAGGCCTTTGTGGTTAAGACCAATTATCCAGTATTACAATTATGGAATGTTTGCTTTAAACATTGTAACATAAATGGAAAATCTCTATAGTAATGATTTAAACTGAGCTTTTTTGTCAAAGAGTGAGAATAAACAAAAGTACTTGAAAAACAGATGTTGAGATTATCTCAGTTTAATTAAATTTTACAATTTTAATAAATTTTTAATTTTTTATATTTCAGCAATACGGGATTCTGCAAGATAGGAACCTAGACTAGTAGAATTTCAGTTATGATCTTAATATCATTGTCACATGGGAACATGTTATGTTCTTGGAAGATTACTGGCAGTGTAGCTCACCATTACACTATGTTGTTTAAACAAAGACATCAGAAGTCTTCCAAATGAAGGTGAAATTTCAAAATTCACCAATCAAATTTCAGATTACTTCCTTGCTTACCCGATCAGAATTATACCATATCAGAAGCTGATGATACCTGGTGCAAATGTTGAATTATTTTATCATTTGATACAAGATAAAAGACGATTATATAATGATTATATATAGTATTCATTGTGCATGAATGTTGAGAGTTAAATGCAGCATTGTGTTAGCCTGTTATGTTTGTTAACAGGGTAATGGCCGTGTTGCATGAAACTCTACAGGAGAAATGTGCAACATTATTCTTGCTCATCATTTAAATTACACAGTTCTTTTAGTTAATCTTTAATGTTACGATTTTTGATTATGCATTTGAGGGCCTTTATGAATTATAATTATAGTGTTAACTTAAAACAATCGTTTTTAAACATTTAAGTGTATATTGAATGTTAAGATAAATGTGTTGTTTTTTGAATGGTAGTTATTGAGTTTACAGTGAAATGTCAGTTCTGACCAAAAATTACATGCCGAAAAATGTAGATATTTGCATGCTATGACAAGTATTTCATACAAGAGTATCCGGTTAAGATTATGTTATTGTCTACTATTATGATTGATACAAGTCGATGTAAGGACGTGCTCAAAGTATCAGTATATGCTAGACATCTGCTTGACTGTATAACCTCTTTCACTTTATTGATTAAATTATTGTTTTCATGCCAATTAATTTTCCTTCTTGATATATTGAGGATTTATTGATGTGTTAGTTAATGTTAGTTTATGATCTCTTAATGTGCTCGATTTAACATGTAGAATCCTCTTAAGTTTGAAATGAAATACACAAATATATGAAAATTGATCTTACAGTCATATTTTGTTGAAAAAATATGATTATGTAATTGTTTTATTGAATATTGATATGATGTCATTTCCTCAAATGGTTTGCTAGATTAATTAAAGGTGCAGACAACATTTTATCTACATTCTTTGAATTATATAAAATCAAAATTTAGCCTTTGAAGGAAAAAAAGTTCATATAACAGAATTTCTAAAATAAGTGACATTAAACATGTTTAGACCTGCTCTAGTGGAGAATGAATTTGACAGTGTGGACAACTTACAAGCTGTATATTAAACTAAATGTCAGGTGTGCATGTGTTTTGCTCATTGGTATGTTTACCTTTTACAATATATAATAATTTTCTAAGGTATTCATTATTGTTTTTGTCTTTATATCTTTTTTTTCTCAATACACATTTTTGTTTATGTTAAATATTATCTTACATGATTTGCCATATTATTTCATCATCTGTTGTGGTGAGATCATCATTTCCATTACATTTATTTGTAGGAATGTTAGTGCTGTTTATACAAATGTGCAATTCTATGTGTGTATGTTTAATTGATTCAAATGTACCGATTTTCATGCAAAATTTACACCCCCATCTTATAAAAGTTCTGTGTTATAGTTAATAAATGCAGAAATTTGACATAAAGGATGTGAAATATTGTACAAAATCAACCTGATAGTTGTTTAAAACATGATAAAAGGTCTTGCACACAAAAAATACAGATGATAATCTGTGTCTATGATAAATGTTCCTGGTATCTTTTTTCTTTTTTTCACAATTAAACGATATGTTTATAATTAATATCATTTTGTTCTTTTCACCTTTATTTCCATCTCATTTTATAAAAAAAAATGAAACATAAAGGTGTGGAATTTCAAGTCTTTCATTTTCTGATATAGATGCAAATTGTTTGAACATTAAAATTTTGATATTTTAAGAAGAGTATTGTGCCCTTTATATACTGGGTATTTTTGTCAGCACTTTGTTCATTAAAAGCTAAGTTGTAATAATTGTATACACTGCATCATCATTTATTTGTATTTTTTAACAGCCAATTTCCATACAGCATGTCATTTTTCATTTAAGCCAATACCAAAATATCAGCTTAGATTTTTTAATGCAAATGTGAGAATTCCAAGAAAATTCTATAGTATGAAAAGCTTTGCAGGAATGAATGGATATTTTTATCCAAATGTGTGTTGTTGTGTTGAAAAATTGCATTCTAAATGAACAAGATTTGAGTGTTTTTCAGTGAGTCAGCTAAAGTGGATTGGTCTACAATGGGCACATTTTCCATATGAGCCGCGCCATGACAAAACCAACGTAATGCGTTTGCGACCAGCATGGATCCAGACCAGCCTGCGCATCCATACAGTCTGATCAGGATCCATGCTGTTCGCTTAGAAACCCTATAACAAGTAGAGAAACTGATAGCAAACAGCATGGATCCTGATCAGTCTGCGCGGATGCGCAGGCTGGTCTGGATCCATGCTGGTCGCAAACTCATTATGTTGGTTTTGTCATGACACGGCTCATATGTATTTCAAATATTGATTAAACACAATAGAAATGTATCATTTGGATATTCTTATAAAATGCTGCTGTAAAAAATGCGGCTTAAATTTTTTGTGATTTTGAATGAACATTTATATGATGAATAATAATATTTTGTTCTAGAACATGCTATATCTGCTATATAACAGATAATACATAACTCACACTTTCAAAAAAAAATGTAAGTAGTAAATGTTGAAAACATAAGAAAAATTTTGTTTTTTGGGGACTTTTTTGCGAGAAAGATTAAAAATAGATTTACAGTTTTTCTTCCCTCATCTGGTTAGTGACTTTGTGGTGTTATTCTAAACATGTCTTATCAATAACAAAACAATTCCAATAGCTTACTTTTGAAAAAAAGAAGTGCACTTGTGAATTTCTTTTTACATTCTTACCAAATATTATCAAAAAATGTGTCTATTGTACATAATTCAATTTTTGTACAGCCTTTTTAAAAGGCTGACTAGCTTTCTATCTATAGTAGTTTATAAATCTCTAAGCTTTAGATTTTTCCTTAACTTACAAAAAAAATGATGTCATGTTGAAAACTGATTCATTTTTAGCTCGACTATTCGCAGAATAATCGAGCTAATGCAGTCACCCATTTGTCGGCGTCGGCGTCGGCGTCCCTGTGGTTAAGTTTTTGTATGTAAGCTGGTATCTCCTTAACTACTGAAGGGAATGGATTGAAACTTCACACACTTGTTCTCTGTGATTATCTAAGATGATTGGCACAAGTCCCATAACTCTGATTTGCTTTTTTACATAATTATGCCCCTTTTTCGACTTAGAAATTCTTGGTTAAGTTTTTGTATGTAAGCTGGTATCTCCATAACTACTGAAGGGAATGGATTGAAACTTCACACACTTGTTCTCTGTGATTATCTAAGATGATTGGCACAAGTCCCATAACTCTGATTTGCTTTTTTACATAATTATGCCCCTTTTTCGACTTAGAAAATTCTTGGTTAAGTTTTTTGTATGTAAGCTGGTATCTCCATAACTACTGAAGGGAATGGATTGAAACTTCACACACTTGTTCTCTGTGATTATCTAAGATGATTGGCACAAGTCCCATAACTCTGATTTGCTTTTTTACATAATTATGCCCCTTTTTCGACTTAGAAATTCTTGGTTAAGTTTTTGTATGTAAGCTGGTATTTCCATAACTACTGAAGGGAATGGATTGAAACTTCACACACTTGTTCTCTGTGATTATCTAAGATGATTGGCACAAGTCCCATAACTCTGATTTGCTCTTTTACATAATTATGCCCCTTTTTCGACTTTGAAATTCTTGGTTAAGTTTTTGCGTGTAAGCTGGTATCTCCATAAGTACTGAAGGGAATGGATTGAAACTTCACACACTTGTTCTATGTGATTATCTAAAATGATTGGCACAAGTCCCATAACTCTGGTTTGCTTTTTTACATAATTATGCCCCTTTTTCGACTTAGAAATTCTTGGTTAAGTTTTTGCGTGTAAGCTGGTATCTCCATAACTACTGAAGGGAATGTATTGAAACTGCACACACTTGTTGTTTGTGATTATCTAAGATGATTGGCACAAGTCCCATAACTCTGATTGCTTTTGTGCATAATTATGCCCCTTTTTCGACTTAGAAATTCTAGGTTAAATTTTTGCTTGTAAGCTGGCATCTCCATAACTACTGAAGGGTTTGTACCTTTTCGGACAATTTTATGTATTCATATAGGTAAGCATTATTATACTCAATGAAACACCCTTGTGATGAATTTTCGAATAGTCGAGCGTTACTGTCCTCCGACAGTTCTTGTTCCATATGTTGACATTAATGTGTAGATAATTTCATTTTAATTCATGGCATTGTGTATAGCTCATACTGTTTCTAAATGTTTTTTGGTTTATTTTTTTTATCTTTTTTTTTTATTTGCTTACTTCATTGAACAAACTTTCTAGAGGTAAATTAGTACTTGTAGAAAATAAATCTACATATTTATTTTGACAAATATGTAGTATAATGTATTATCTGATTATTTGGTTAAAAAACTGATAACAAGTATGTATCAGTATTTAAAAAAAAATGGGGCAAATTTGATATTATACCATAATAGACGTAGTTAAAATGTGGGAAACTATTTCTTGAGAAGTTTGTATGAACAAATATATTTAAATACATATACAATGTATATGATGTATGTTTCAGTATAAAGTTAAAGTTTCAGACATTTTTATTTAACCAGAATGTTAGCTGAAGTATATATTGACCTTATCTCATTGTGTATGGTCGTAGTATAGAAAAGATTTTTTTATCATATTAAATTTAGCAGTAATACTTCATAGGAAAAAAGCTTTTATTGATGATAAAATATTGCAAAGTTGGACCAGGCAAAATAAACATTTTCAAACAGGAAGGGATATTTATTGGTTATATGCAAAAACATTAGGAGATAACACTTCAAGTTACACATAAATAATATTTATTAATAGGAAGTTTCTTTAAAGAAAAAAAAAGTATAAATTACAATTACATTCTAACCTCAGAAATCATATCTGATAATTCTGTTTATATTCGTGTGTTATCCAAGTTTTCCTGATTATAACGATATGGTTGATTTTTTGAATATAATATTATCAGAATTGCTGATGAAATAACTGATATAAAGTACAGTAAGGGAATGAGAAATAAAAAAATATAAAAAAAGTTTTAAGTAAAGGTACATCTGGGTTTTGATGTCACTGTTTTATTTATACTATGAAAATTTGATTGAGCATTTAATGACAAAAAAAATCATTACTGTGGTAGGTCTTGTGTAGGAATATCCCTGTGAGAATTGAATAGCTAATATATCTAGCTTTAGTTTTTGAAATGGAGAAGAAATTAAATATTGAAATATATATTTGTAGTTGTGCCTCTAGGTTTACTTTTATGGCATATTTTGCTCATTATTTTGTAGCATTCCTTTTGTGTTCAGTAATAATTTTATGTATACAGTATTGATTGATGAAATGATCTATTTTATGTTTGTGCTAATGATACAATGGAAAGTGTACATGTTATTTTTTGTTTATTTTTGTTTAAATCTTATATTAAGATTATACATTTGAGAAGGTTTCATCATTTGGGACAGATGGAGCTGTTTGTTTTTTTTATCTCCCATCATATGATCTATATTCTAGTTGGAATATGTCTTTATTAGTTTAGATCTAAAACAGGAGATACAGAAATGAGGGCCTAAGCATAATCTCAATGACCCATTTAACCCATAGAATGTGACAGAAGATGATTGAATAGTTTTTTCATCATGGCTTTATTAATATATCTGTGTTATCATATACGCTATTTGGCACATAACACCTATTTAGATTGTATGCTGATGTAAGCTGCCAAGTTTAGATTTAAGTTGATTATTTATGTTCACATTCTTTATTTGTTATCTTTTGTTAACTTTGAACTTAATTATTGATTATATTTTTTTGTGTTGATTTATCCATTGTATAGTTTGTTTAATACATTGACAAACAATCCAAAATACAAATACAGTAAAATCTCTACAGTATGGTACTTTTAACTGAAGTGAATAGGGACATAGGCTTATTGTTCTTATAGGCCCAGTTTGTATTTCTGTACAGGCATATCCGACTGTACACTGTGTGGTTCCAGAATTTGATAATGAAATCCCTTACATCAGTTCTTTTAAAGGTTGGTTATATGTTTCAAGAACAATTGCATTTGATCAAATGTAAAAATATCTGTGAAGGATTCCATGCAAGACAAGGAAAGAGATGTAAAATTCTGATAAAATAGTCCAATTTTCAAGGTTAGAAAATTCAGAATTGTTATAATTTAAGCTGAATCTTATAAAAAAAATTCCTATGATGATGAATCGTAGGATATATCTAATTAATGCAGACACCCCGTTTATATAAATAATGCATGATTGTTTTATATGATTTGTCTAATATTGAAGGGTTTATTATTAAGATTAATGGTTAAGGTAGAATTATTTAGCTTTCAATCACTTATCATATATAGCATATACAGCTGTTAAAACTATTCAAGAATTAAAATATTGTCACAGAATACGTACATAATATGTGAGCATAAATATTATATATAAATATAATATATATTATTATCTTTACAGCTTTCAAAATTTGAATTGAATTCGATTTTGGCAGCTTATGGCATTTTCATATATGAATTTCATTTTGTTGTGTATAACTACATAATAAGTATATTTCAGTTGCATTTTGAAATTGTTTAGAAATGTTTAATTTGTGTTAACCCATGCTGGTGGTGGCAAAGTCTACCCATGTGACCAGGGCAGACAGAGATCAGCTGGCACATCTGAGCCATCTGATTATTGTCTGTACAGTTTGCTATTCAATCAGTAGTTTTATTGATTTTTTTTTCTAAAAAAGATGGATGTGGATGTCCAGAGAGAAAGAAGGTAAAGTCCATTTAAGATATTTAGCTGGGTCAGGGTTACTGAAGCTAAGAAGGAGTTAAATATAAAGACATGATGCCTAATTATTTTGACATGATTTGGTTTGACCCATCTGTTATACTGTTTTTAGAAGACATTGCCTATTAAAAAATTTCTTTGTGCCACTTTGACAAGTTTGAAAGTTGGGACTATTTGACAGGTTACTAAAAGTTACAGGTTATAATCTTATGCTGTATTATTATATAATAATTTAACTTTGCAATATTGTAATATTAATATGTAAATAATATTTAATTGATAATCATTCTTGTGAACAGCATTTACTATATCTGTCCGCATGCCAAAAGAATGTGTGCAGTACCGAATGAACAACAAATACATGCACATATTATATGGTAAAACTAACTGTACCAAGCAGATAAGACCATTGTATTCCTTATCTTACATTGAGGAGTTTTATAAGTAATGAAATACACAGTAAATGATGTTTAAGATAAAAACATTATGTACTTAATAGACTTTTTTTCTATAGTTGTACAAATGAACTGTAGATTATAATGCTTTGCCATTTATTTTAATCGTCTGTAATATTGTATAATAAACTCTTAATTTTATATGAATAGTGTTGTTGAGTTTGATTTTCTCCTACATTAGTCTTGTGTCTTAAATCTCCTGTGATATATACTGGTAGATACTTATAAATAGCAATTAAAGCCCTTCAAAATTGGTTGATGGTTTTTCCAATATTTAATATATTTGAGCCTCATCTTTAATGTATGTGCACCTACGTGTTTTCTTTGTGATTCCTCTATCAGTTATGATATACAAGTCTATTCCTGTGGCCGCAAGAGGGAAGTATTAAATACTTTAGAAACTTAATGGGAAAAATTGTTTTCAAGTGGAAAATGTCAGAAAAGTCAATAAAAAGAATATTTTCTCTTCTTTTCCGGTTTCTATTATATCAAAATTAATGTGAAAATCAAAAACAAGAATCTCATCAAGTGATTTATTTAAAGAAAATATTCTTTCTTTTTTTACAAAGAACTTTCTGTTGTGTCACCCTGTCATCTCTCTGTTTCAACATAATATGTCAGCAGCTTTTATAACCACTATAATATGTACATACATTTTAGTAGGTACTAAATAGTCCATGAGATGAAAATATTCTCAAGTACCCCATTGGCAAGAATAAAATAATTTCAATGCTATAGTCCTTGTGAAAATATTAAAGAAACCGGGATGACACTTTTCCCAAAATGAAATGGAAATCAGTCATACACTTGCTTAATATCAAATATAAATATATTTCTTTGTTCTTGCAGGTATCCCTTGAAATACAGTATTACAATGATAGTTGGCCAAATTTTCACAGAGCTTAGATAAACAATAAGTGCTGCTTACTAGTAAAGCATAAGTAAAAAGTTCTGTAGTACTTCTAACCAATTTATATTAAATAAATTTATATAAAATATCATGCTTGAGTGTGTGTATTTGCGTTTATTTATACTCGACACCGGTTGCCCATATGGGCGAGTCCTCCAGAAGAGTTTTAGTCATTTTATTTTTTTGGAGGATAGTGCAATTACAGATACAGAAAGATGCCCCAATTCCAGAAGCTTTTCCTGGTTCTTTAGCATGCCAAGTGTTTAAGCACCCATACATGGGACCTCGATTTAAAGTCTCATCCGAAAGACTGATTAGTAATTTTAGTTGGCCAGCCCGGGAATCGAACCCACAATGTCGAGATTACAAGTCTCGCGCTCTAATCGATTGAGCTAAGCGGGCTGGCTAACATGCTTGAAACCAGAGATGTAGATTTTATCTGTCTGTGTTGAAACTAAGTGTCCATGTTTCCTGTTAATGAAAAAGAAACCACTGCTTAATTGCACAGAGGTTAAGCATATAGAACATGGTGTATAGAATTACCTGAAGATATTGAAAAACTGAAAGATCCTGTACCATAACACAGTCTGTGCCATAACTAAGCTTTCTTGTAGGAATTTTTCAATCATTTTTAATAGTTAACAGAGATGATATAATCCAAATTTTTATGTGTTAAGGTATTGTGTGTCCCATAAACTCTGACTTTTATTTATTTTTCGGCCAAAGGCCGTCTGATTTCACCTTGACTTCCGCTAAAATTAACAGTAAAGAAATGAATATAGGCAGAATTTTCATTGGTCATTTTAACACTAATAGCCTGTTCGATTGATACTTTAGAAGAGCTTCCGTTATAGGTAGAGGTCTGTTCGATTGCGCGATGGCAAGAAGTGTTGGAAAAAGATATAAGTCAGAATAAATATAAAAACACAATAATGATATTTTCTAGATGTTTCTAACAGCTTTTCAATAAATATATGAAATTAAATATGACAGATCGCCATTTTGATACTTTTGCATTCGATTGGGTTTCTCTTCTAAGCTGTTCTAGTCATTATATTCTCCTCTCGAACCGGGCATAAGACAATTGAAACAAACTTTCGACTAATTTACAGTTGCAAAATTCTCCGTGGAATTAGTGTACAGTATTTACTAAATCTTTGTTTTATTATAAATTCCTATTCAATTCAAATTCCATTTTGATTAAAATCAAATAATGTAATATTGTTTAAATCTAAGATGACAATTAATGGGGAAAAACATTGCAGGTAAAAATGAACTGAAATAAAACTAAGGAGGACAAATAAATTTTTCTGTTTTTGGTTAGCATGGTTAGTAGTAGCTTATCCTATGCAAGTTAACAAGTTTGACTTTGGCCGAGTATCTTTTTAAAGATACTTCTTGTTTCTAGATATATGCCTATATTATTTAAATCAATCAAAATACAACTTTAAAAATAGTGTAAATATCAACCACATATTACCTCAGTTAACAATTAATAAATGACAAATTCCTTCCTTATCTTTGTTTATTAAAGAGAATTAAGAATTTTTTCTTTGTAACTTTCTGTAATTTCAGTTCAAACATAAAGGGCCTCATTTCATATTGAAATGCAGTAAGGGCCTCTTGGTTACCTCCCTTGTGTTTATATTTTCATCCGGGTAATGTCTGATGCAATATGGCGGAAAGACGATGTAAGATTTCCAGCTGAATTACTTTCATAACTGATTGAAATGTATTCTGGGGAAATCGCATATCTGAATAGGAAACATTCATTACATATACAGTGGCTTTATTGATAGAATTGAAAATGGAGGATAGATACGAGCCCACAGAAGTAGAATCACTACCTGCCAACTTGCCACCGGAGGTAACGTTTACAGATATTTGTTTTGATTTTATTATGCAAATGTAATATATCATTCGATCTTCGTATAAAATATAATGTAAAACATAAAAAGTATTAGAAATATGCACCCATGTCATTTTGGAAAAGGGAATGTAGATATCTATTTGTCGTAGTAGATCTAGGTCTTAAATTTTGACAGCTGAAGTATACTTGACATGTTGACTTAATTCTTGGACTTAGGTCTACTGGTCGGAGACCATCAACCGGACACTTTTGGAACATTTTTCCGTACAGATTTCATAATTTTTAACCTAGAGACCAAAAAATTTGACACAGTTCAGCTAGGTTCTTCTCCTAACTAATAAACTAGTTTGTTTATTTCTGATTTTATTGACAATTATATCTGAGGCTCAACAAGGAGGGTATCAAAATTACCTAAATTGTCTACACTACAGTACCATGTGTCCGGACAGATATGTACATGATGTGATTTAATTCAGATAAAAGCCTGGGTCTTTTGATTTTTGATTTGTAACATGATATACAATATGTCAGCAATAAATGCTGAAGTTTTGGATATTCTATTATTCACTTTGCAAATGATTATAGCTGGTATATGAGGTCAGACATTGCTTTCTTGACCCCCGAATTTCAACGTTAACATTCTTGAAATAGACATTAAAATATTACCATTTACAGAGGTTGAAATAAATTCATTTACTTAATTTTGAAAGAAACATGCACTTATTGCCTATAAAAAAGTGACTGACAACCACTGAACAAAGAAAATACTAAATTTAGCATTTTCGGGGCCGTCCGGGTTTGGTGGTTGTCCGGTTTTGGTGGTCCCCAACCAGTACTGTACTTAACTTAGGGTCACTATATAGCCACGGTTTGACACTTTTAAGAATTTTGTTTTATTTCTTTTACAGTCTAACCTGCAAAAGACATTACGCATTCTTGAAACAGGGGCTATGCTTACTGTTTCGATAAAAAATTTATTTTAAAAAATCTGCATTTATAAAGAGACTTTCCAAAAATCCAAAAAATGAAATAAGGCTGCTATAGTCTTAAAATTGAACTTCGTCTGCTATTTCACTACTAGTTGGGTACCATCAACCAGACACTTTTTGAACATTTTTCCATACAGATTTCATAATTTCCAACTCAGAGACCAAAAAATTTGACACAGTACAGCTAGGTTCTAATCTCCTAACTAACAAACTAGTTTGTTTATTTCTGATTGTATTGACACTTATTTCTGAGGCTCGTAAAAGAGGGTATCAAAATTAACTAAATTGTCTACACTACAGTACCATGTGTCCGGACAGTTATGTACATGGCGTGATTTAATTCAGATAAAAGCTTGTGTGTTTTTAACATGGTATACAATACTTCAGCAACAAATGCTGAAGTTTTGGAAATTCTATTGTTTACTTTGAAATGATTAAAACTGGTATATGAGGTCAGGCATTGCTTTCTTGACGCCCAAATTTCAACATCAACATTCTTGAAATAGACATAAAAATATTACCATTTACAGAGGTAGAAATAAATTCATTTACTAAATTATAAAATAAACCTGCATTTATTGTTGATAAAAAAGTGACTGACAACCACTGAACTAAGAAAATACTAAATTAAGCATTTTCGGGGCTATCCGAGTTGGGTGGTTGTCCGGTTTTGGTGGTCCCCAACCAGTAGTTAAAAAGATGCTGAAGTTTTGGAACTTCGCCAAAACAAAATGAAAGTAAGCACTTGTCACTTTGTTAACTGTTTAAGCTTTCCATTGTTATTGTCTTTTTACCCTACAAAAGTCGATAAAGTTAACACTTAGATTTTAAAATATAAATAAAAAGACTTTGAGGGGGAACAAGACATAAAAACACCAGATTGGTGGAAATATTTATTATAACTACTGGTTTCAGGTAAGATATACCCCACATTAGAGCTTACGACCAGTAAAGACCAGTTCACGATCACCAGTGACCCCTGGTCGCAGACAATCTGTAAAACGTCTTACGACGGTCATCGGTGATCTTTGACAGGCGCAGGTTTTCTTATTTAGGTCCCACGACCAATTTCAGTCGTAGAGAGGTTGTTGAGCTTGCACAACAATCTCCTTGCGATCAAACAGGTCGCTAGTGATCTTATAAGGTCTTAGGAGGCTGTCGCACGATGGTCGTTCGGAAGTGCGACAATCTTACGACAGTCTTTACAAATTGCCACTAGTCACTGATAATCTTGAGTAGTCTTTAGTAATCATGTGATAGTCATGTGATCGCATGACAGGTCATGGGTAGTCGTAAGTAATCCCACACAATCTTGAGACCATCGTATGTTTTCTTATGACCTGTCGTGCGATTTTCAATGATGACTTGTCTTACGACAGTCGCAGAAGTAAATTTATCTGTGCAAAAATGGTTTTGGTCGCAGACAATCGCTGATGATCGTCAGTTTTACAAGTCGCCGGTGGTCGCAAGTAATCGTAACTTCTAGTGTGACTGGGGTTTTACCAGTATTTATAGCCTAATATTAACACAGTATGCCCTGCTCCTATATTACTAGATGACCATATTTGTTAAAAAAACAAAATTAAAATAATACTATTTATCAAGTGTCAGGGTTATCTTTGTGTCCAAGTTATCTCTTTAACCATTTATCACTGTAACATACAGTCGAGACTGCCTTAGCGACCCCCTGATTTTCCTATATAATTGGTCTGAATTAAACGACTCCCTGTCATATGTGACAAGCAACCCTAATTGTCTGGTCCCAATGCAATGTTTTGTCTGATTTAAACGACTTTCACACCTTTTAATTGTCCGTTAATCAGATAAATAATACCTATTTTAACACCCAGAGGGCCAAAATAATTAAGTCCAATTATAATCCAGTAGCAAACAAAGTCTACACACCTCTGTCTCAATTACACAGTTAACATGTATACAGGTATCGAGTGACGTCACTAAGCGTCTGTTCATGGGAAGCATGATGCAATCGATGTGTGTGTAATGTACATAATGACCTGAGTAAACTGGATTAAGCTTGTGTCAGATTTTTTTTTTAATTATAGAGTGCCAACGGAAGATATTTTAGGCAGCATTTTTTTAATTTACCTTTCTATGGCTGCATAATTAATACGGAAAAAATATTGATACCAAACCAGAAAAAGATTTGGATATGGATATGTTTAACTTTTACAAGTATGGATTTGAATGCATCAAATTCCAGTTAATTTATACCATAAAGATTCAATTTAAATCTTAATACAAAAAATAAAATAAAATTTTATGTGATATACATGCTAATATAATTATATATTTGTTTTACTTCTTATTTTATTTACATAAAAAAAATTTACGAATACCCATGTTTATTTGCAATTGGTTAGATATTATTCCTTCCCACAGTTATGTATGTTAAGTCACAATGGCATATGAGTCCAGTCTCGACTGTATATATATATATGACTGGTTTATGTAATTTACAACATTCACTATTAAATATTCATACACATTATTATTCGAAATCGATTTGAATAAAAAATAACTGAATGTACGCGTGTGGTTGTTCTTTTTGGATTCATATTTTATATTTATTTATGACATGCATTAATACAAAAGCTTTTCTTATATAGTTTGGTGATTGGTTAGAGTGAAATTATATTATAATAATTTCACAGTGAAATTATCCAAATATATATATTTTTTTTTTATTGACACATTATTATAAAATATAAATTTATCAAATGATATTGGTAATTATTACAATATGATATGGGTAATTATTACAATATATAATATTAGGTATAGGGATTGAATTGTTGCTGAGTTTGATTGTCACTGGGGCAGCTAAGGTTGAATTGTCAAAGGATTAAGATGATGCACTGTAAAAAGAATTCTGAGTTTTGTCTGCTGTAGACAACTTTTATTTTAATATAATAATAATGTTCCCAATTCCTGTTTAGTAGTAAAACATAAAACATGATTTTATCATTTACTTTGGTGGCATCGTCATTATAATATATCCTGATATACATGTGTGTTTATAATTAACTTGGAACTTATGTAGAAATAAAATCTATATATTTCAGGTTGAAGAAGGAAATATAGAATATAAGGTATGTGTCACTATGAAAAATTACACTGAACGGTCAGAACTTGACCAAAAAAAGTTAAATTCCCAAAAAAGAACTTACAAAGTATGAAATATCATTTTTTAATTGGTGTATTTCTTAATAAATAAATAACTTGTATTTAGCATAGGAAAGATGTCATTGTTTTACTTATAAATATATGTTTGTTGATATCTTATTTAAAAAATTGTATTAGTATTAAATGTAACATATATATTATTATAATCATAAATCTTCAACTGAAAAAGACACCAGCCAGTGGGAAATAATAATTTATAATAAATAAATTTGTGATAACTGTCTATGTTTCTTCTTTTTAAAGTTAAAACTAGTTGACCCAAGTCCACATAGAATAGAACATTTAGTAACTCAGATGAAATGGAGATTAGAAGAAGGACAAGGGGAGGCAATCTATGAGATAGGGGTAGAGGATAATGGACTGCTGGTTGGTCTGTCACCTTTAGAGCTCCGTGCCTCAGTACATACTCTAGAACATATGGCTGAAAGGTGGGTATGTTCTGTTGAATAACTGAAGATTAACAGTTTCATTGACATATTGCCATTTATTAATTGATAAAACAGTAAATAGCTGGCATGCATTGGATTTTGGGTTATTGATAGATGATCTGTTTTGTGATTGCTATCTCTAAGGATATTATATGAAATATTTTTTTATAAAGGTCCTATTAAGATTGTGTTTAAGAATGTTTTTTACACCTGACCTACATATGTCTTTTAGAAGGAATGCTCTTGTTTTTGTACATGTATATGTTAACAGTTATTTCCAAATGTTATGTTTTAATTCAGACTAGGGGCAACATTAACTATACTGAGGGAACGGTGTGTGGAGGGAGAAGATGGGGAGGAAAACAGAAGAGCATTAGAAATTCTTGTACGCAGAGTCCCAGATGATCAAAAGGTATAATGCACAATCTAGATGCTCGGTTTAGAGTGAATGAATTTGTATACATTTAGAGTACTAAAAGAATTTTATTTTTCAAGGATTTTCAAAAATTTCTTACCAATTTTACTCGGCTGTAGTTTTGTGTACTCTTCTATGTTTTGATCTTCATGCACAACATATGTAATACATTAATTCATGATTGGTCTTGTATCGCTTTTACAATTTTTATTGATATTAAACATTTAGTTTATAGAGAATTTATTGTTAGTTTGATTGTGTAGGAAGCTATAAGTTTATAGACACACTCTGAATCAGTTCTTGTAACCTACAAGTACTAAGCAATGGGTTTAAAGTTTCTTGCTCAAGGAAGCAACAGCTTGCCCCTGCACACGGCCTGCAACTCTTAGATTATTAATCTGATATGTTAACCACTGGGCCATAGAACAACATATAAATATCTAACAAGAGCTAAGAATTTTCAGCTTGAAGAATAGAAAGATATTGCAAATATTAGCATGTAATTGTTGATATCTAAGTCTAAGACTGGTCTGTGTAAAGAAAAGAAAATGTTCCTGATCAAAGAATGAGTTTTTTAATGGGTTGATATATTTACAGTTTATCGATATGAGGATGTCAGTGTTAGGTAATGTTGATGCTGGAAAGAGTACCCTACTAGGTGTGTTAACACATGGAGAACTAGACAATGGTAGGGGAAGATCAAGATTAAACTTATTCCGACATTTACACGAAATTCAGTCTGGCAGAACTTCATGTATTAGTCATGAGATTGTTGGCTTCAATAACTCAGGAGAGGTATTTAATACTTTCTTGATATTTTGGAAAACCTTTGATACAATACTTTATAACACTTTGTAAATGGACTGATAAATCTCTATTGTTATGGTGACTGAAGAGCAATGAAAGAAATATTTGGCCATATGCATCATATGACATTATTATAGAAGGAGCATTGCTTTACTTTATAAGACATTATCTGAATTAAAATATCTTTAGGATTTACATGGTATTTACAGGATAATTTCAGGATTTACTATGCATTTCTATGACTTACTCAGTATTTCCAGGATCTGCTTACTAAAGAATCTCAGTATTTACAATAATTTCCAGGATTTTCTAAATATTTACAGGATTTACATAGTATTTCCAGGCCCGTGTTCACAAAGAAAAGATTAGGATCAGGATCAAGTGATCCTGATTTTATTTTCTTTGTTTTATGTTACTAAAATTTATCGTATTTTGCTAGAATTAAATGGTACATATTCAAAATGTAAAAAATTGCTGATTTACAAAGAAACCAACCTATTTTAGGATAAAATCAACAAATAACAAAACAAATACAAAAATAAGCGGATCAAAATAAGGATCAATTTTAGGATCAAGATCAATATTTGGATCAACTGTAAAATGCCGGTATCTTGCAAAAATAGCAATAAATTTATTCTAAAATTTTATAAACATGTTATATAAGTCCAGTTTTATCAAGTTAATATTAAATATTAAATTATGAAATAAACAATGGATAATATAAAAAAGTAAATTCAAAAATACAATTTACTGGATTTTCCTTATTTTTTCCCAAAAGTGTTCATTTAATTAACATCATTTACATATAAAATCCAGGATATACTCAGTATTTCTAGGTTTCCAATTTCATATTTTCATACTTGTTTTTTTGTTCAACATATGTCAATAAACAATACATATATGAATTTCTTACTCTATATAGGTAGTTAACTACAGTGAATCAAGGTCAGTAGAAGAAATTTGTGAGAACTCAACTAAGCTGATAACATTGATAGATCTAGCAGGACATCATAAATACCTGAAGACAACCATCTTTGGTCTGACATGTTACTCCCCTGACTTCTCAATGCTGGTTGTTAGTGCTAACACTGGAATGGGTAGGTTTTCACAAAATATTCTAGTGATAAAATAATGCAATCTGTATGTTAATGTCTTGTTTTGAAATTTGTAAAGTTTTTCTTGTAAAACATAATCAAAAGGTGTTAAATTCAAGATTTTCAGGATACATTTCACAAACTTTTACTTTAGCAAAGCAATATATCTTCACTTCTTGGAAATGGGGCAAAATGATGAAATAAAACTTGCAGACTAGAGGTAATTAATAAGGTAGTTTTTTGGTAAGCTATTTGTTTGTCCTGGTTTTAACACATGTGCTGATATGGAAACATGATACATTGCAGCTGGTACTACAAAGGAACATCTAGGATTTGCACTAGCTTTAAAAGTTCCGGTGTTTGTTGTGATAACAAAGATAGACATGTGCCGCAAGTTTGTTATACAGAAGTGTGTAACACAGCTGGAGAAAATACTGAAAGGTCCAGGATGTAAGAAAATATCAGTCCGCATAGAATCTGAAGATGATGCTATTACTGCTGCACAGAACTTTGATTCTGAAAAGTATGTTAATATATTCCAGGAAAATGATCAAATAGACTTAAACATGTCCTCTGTGGCAGTTTAATTGAAAACACTTTTACTTTAGTATTTCTTTATGTTTTAATGATAGTTCATGGAGATTTATTTCAAATTTTGTATAGCTTGTAACATATTTCATCCTTCAGTCTTGAGGTTTTCAGTTTATATCCAGGTAAAAAATTTCTTCTTGTATCAGTTAACCAGATCCTGTAACAACACGGTTAACAGTGGTAATTTAAATGACTTTAAACCTGACTAAAGTACATGTACTGTTAAAATATGCCTTAAACAAAAAAGAAGCAAGCAAAGAAAAGGTTAAGGCCAAGGACTTCATGTAAATGTTTAAACATGATGTATTTTTAGCTCACCTGTCACAAAGTGACAGGGTGAGCTTTTGTGATCGCTTTTCGTCCGGCGTCCGTCCGGCGTCCGTCCGTCCGTTTTCCGTCTGTCGTCCGTCTGTAAACTTTTACTTTAAATGACATCTCCTCATAAACCACTAAGCCAATTTCATCCAATGTTCCTTTGGAGGTCACCTTTAAAAACTGTTCAAAGAATTTAATTCCATGCAGAACTCTGGTTGCCATGGCAACCAAAAGAAAAAACTTTAAATATCTTCTTTTAAAAAACCCAAAGAGCTAGAGCTTAGATATTTGGCATGAAACATCTTCTAGTGAGTGTCTACCAAGTTTGTTCAAATAAAAGCCCTGGGGTCAAAATTGGCCCCGCCCCAGGGGGTCATTGATTTTCCCTATATGCATATAGTAAAAACTTAAAAAATCTTCTTTAAAAGAACCCATAGAGCTAGAGCTAAGATATTAGCATGAAACATGTTCTAATGGGTGTCTACCAAGTTTGTTCAAATAAAAGCCCTGGGGTCAAAATTGGCCCGCCCCAGGGGGTCATTGATTTTCCCTATATGCATATAGTAAAAACTTAAAAAATCTTCTTTTAAAGAACCCAAAGAGCTAGAACTAAGATATTTAGCATGAAACATGTTCTAATGGGTATCTACAAAGTTTGTTCAAATAAAAGCCCTGGGGTCAAAATTGGCCCCGCCCCGAGGGTCATTGATTTTCCTTATATGTGTATAGCAAAAACTTAAAAAATCTTCTTTTGAAAAAAACCCATATAGCTAGAGTTTAGATATTAAGCATGAAACATCTTCTAGTGAGTGTCTACCAAGTTTGTTCAAATAAAAAGCCCTGGGGTCAAAATTGGCCCCGCCCCAGGGGGTCATTGATTTTCCCTATATGCATATATAAAAACTTAAAAAATCTTCTTTTAAAGAACCCAAAGAGCTAGAGCTAAGATATTTAGCATGAAACATGTTCTAATGGGTGTCTACAAAGTTTGTTCAAATTAAAGCCCTGGGGTCAAAATTGGCCCCGCCCCGGGGGTCATTGATTTTCCTTATATGTGTATGGCAAAAACTTAAAACTCTTCTTTGAAAAAACCCAAATAGCTAGAGTTTAGATATTAAGAATGAAACATCTTCTAGTAAGTGTCTACAAAGTTTGTTCAAATAAAAGCCCTGGGGTTAAAACAGGCCCCACCCCAGAGGTGTCATTGTTTTTAACTATATGTGTATAGTAAAAACTTAAAAATCTTCTTTTAAAAAACCCAATGAGCTAGAGGTTTGATTTTAAGCAGGAAACATCTTTTTGTTGGTGTCTACCAAGTTTGTCCAAATAAAAGCCCTTGGGTTTAAATTGGCCTTGCCAAAGGGGGGGGGGGCGGAGGTCATTGTTTTTCATTATATGTGTGTAGTAAAAACTTAACATCATGAAACATCTTCTAATGGGTGTCTTCCAAGTTTGCTCAAATAAAAGCCCTGGGGTTTAAACTGGCCCCGCTCCGGGGGCCTATATACAGGTGAGCGACCTCAGGGCCATCATGGCCCTCTTGTTTTCTATTAGTGCATGTATAATACTAGTAGTAGTGTTGCATACAATATTTTTATGCCCCCGCCATGTAATGGCCGGGGCATATAGTGTTACCCTGTTCCGTCATTCCGTCCTTCCGTCCTTCCGTCCTTCCATCCTTCCGTCCTTCCATCCTTCCGTCATTCTGTCATTCCGTCATCATCAGTTTCCGTTCATTATCTTAAGAACGCTTGCACACATTCAACTCAAATTTGACATATGGATATGTCATGAGAAAATACAGGTCAAGTTCGAATTTGGTCATGGTTCGATGATTTTTGGCAGAGTTATGCCCCTTTTACTTTGAAAATAATATGAAATTTCAGTTTCCGTTCATTATCTCCCCAATGGTACAACACATTCAATTCAAACTTGACATATGGATATGTCATGAGAAAATACAGGTCAAGTTCGAATTTGGTCATGGTTCGATGATTTTTGGCAGAGTTATGCCCCTTTTACTTTGAAAATAATATGAAATTTTCTGTTTCCGTTCATTATCTCCCCAACGGTACAACACATTCAACTCAAACTTAATATATGGATATGTCATGAGAAAATACAGGTCAAGTTCGAATTTGGTCTTGGTTCGATGATTTTTGGCAGAGTTATGCCCCTTTCACTTTGAAAGTAATATGAAATTTTCAGTTTCCGTTTATTATCTCCCCAATGGTACAACACATTCAACTCAAATTTGACATATGGATATGTTTTTGGAATGCCCAGGCCAAGTTCGAGTTTGGTCATGGTTCAATGATTTTTGGCAGAGTAATGCCCCTTTCACTTTGAAATAATATGAAATTTACAGTTTCTGTTCATTATCTACCCAACAGTGTTACATAAGCAACTTAAATTTGACATATGGATATGTCAAAGGAATGGGCAGGTCAAGTTGGAATTTGGTCATGGTTTGATGATTTTTTGGCAGAGTTATGTCCCTTTCACTTGAAATAATATAGATACATCTTAGGAATAAGCAGTTTTAAGTTTGAATTTGGTTGTAGTTCAATGATTTAAGACAAACTTATCTTTCCTGAATGTTGGAAAAATTTTGAACTTTCACTTTCAGCACTCTTACTTTTAGCCATTATTTTGGCTACAAATATGCAATATGCTATTTTTAAAAGGTTTAGACTGAATAATTTCAGTGCCTTGAACATTGTATGAAAATGGTTTGTGTTAACATTGAAAAGTTTTAAGGGCTTTGAACTTAAAATGAAAAAAATAATTAAAGCACCATCTGAAATTTTGGCTGCATGCAGGGGCATCCGTGGCATGATGACACATTTCTAGTCTTCTTATAATGGTTAACTATTGTATCTACTAATTATATTGAAAATGAAAATGTGTTTTATTATTTTCCAGAATTGTGCCAATATTCCAAGTTTCTTCTGTAACTGGAGCTAATTTAGATCTGTTATTTAAATTCCTGAATGTTATACCACCATTAAACAAAGAGAGAGACAAGCTTGTACAAGGACCCACTGAATACCAGGTATGTTTATATTGAGTAATAACCTATAACAGGGGAGCTGGATAGAATTTAGAATGCTTATTTTGAGACAGATGTAAAGAAACGTATTTGTAAGTTTTCATTACATTAAGATTCATGATTGAAATTTGTATCTAGTATATATATAATTGATACAATGAAAGTATAGTTATATTTGCTTCGAAATACAATATGAGGTTTTATTACTGTAACTGGAATACTGTGAATCAGTTTTTGAATTTTATATTTCAGATAGATGAGGTATTCAATGTTACAGGTGTTGGAAATGTTGTAAGTGGCAGACTTCATAGGTATGTTTTCAATGTTTCACACTTGTAAAATGTAATGAACTGAATACTAATGAAATATAAGGAAGGCTGCATATAAATTTTAGAAAGGAAGTGTGACAAAAGGAATGTGTTAACATTTAAAATATAAACCTTTTTACAACAACCAACTAGATCATGTTCATATTTTAAAATTTAAAAGATTCATAGAAAACTGTATGGTTGCATGTTAAAAAATTTAACATTAAAGAGGGTATGGAACCTGGTATGGCTGTATTGAGGTTTAAGCTAAAATGACCTTGCAACAGTTCAGTAATTGAATTTAAGATTTTGAATTCACTGGCTAGAATTCCAGTTTTGAATTTATTCTACTATATATTTTACAAAATTTTCAAAAAATTTACACTGGCCCTAACTAATTTTCAATGGCCATGGGCCACCGAGCCAGTTTTAAATTCGATGACTGACAGTTACTTAGGCAAGTCTGTATGGCTGCCTGTATTATTCAGATGATGTGTTTAAAATTATGAACCATTTCCTTATATGACAGTGGTTCTGTGCGTGAATGTGATGATCTGATGTTAGGACCATGTGATGATGGTCACTTCCAGAAGGTGTCGGTCAAAACTGTACATAGACATAGGCTACCTTGTAGGTTGATACAGGCTGGTCAGGCATCTACTGTTGCTCTAGAAAATGTTGAGAGGGAAAATCTCAGAAAGGTATATTATGTCTGTTTGTTTTTCAGTGATAGTTATACAGTTCAGACTTAATTAAAGCTGAATTCATGCCTATAAGCTCGTTTGTTTATGTAGCTGAAGGAAATAAAAATATAGAAGGTCATACTAGATAATGATATTCCAACATTGCTTTATGCCTGCAAATTTTTTTAGAGGTGATTTATTTTATAATCATATTTATTATGTTACCTACAACTTTTATGAATGGTAATATTGATATCCATTGACGCCAAAATTGTAGACATTTCTAGTTTTGGTAATTTCACTAATTTGTTATACTTTGTTTTCCTCAGGCTATTATCTTGAAATTTTTGATCAGTTTAATAAGGTTATTAGAAATGAAATCATGGTTGGACAATTTTAACATGAATTTAGCACCTGTTATAGTACAAACACATTGGTAACTGTTTAAGCTCAGTGTATATACTGTATGAATTATATTTGAACAGGGTATGGTGTTAGTGAGTAAAGAATTGGTTGGATCATGTTTGGAGTTTGAAGCAGATATATACCTCCTGTATCATGATACACAGATCTGTAAAGGCTTTCAGACCACTATACACATTGGAAATGTATGTCAGATAGCCCAGGTTATGACAATTAAGGAAAAGGTGAGGTTTCTGTTTTTAGGACATCCATAATTATTACTACTGTCTTTACTAAACTAGTTGTTTTGTTTCTTATTTTTGAATACATGTATTGTCAAAAAAATTTTGGAATACTGGAAAATTTTTACAAAGATAATCCATAAGTTGATCTCTATATAATAGTTAAAATGTTCTGATTAATAAAGGGGAATGAGCTTTATTTTGTACATCTTTTTGTGAACTTTGAATAAAAATGTTTTTATCCTTCAACATTTTAAGATGTGATAATATTTAAAACATATTCTACGAGAAATTTTCAGTTGGTCAGAAATACTTTATTGAAAACTTTTGGCATGACTGTAAAAGGCTGACCATCAAATTATCTATATATCTACTTAGATATGTTTAGTGTTACAGACTAACAATTACCCTTTTAACTAGCATGAACTATTTTCATTTATATAACAATTTTGTTTTTAATGTGTATGTGTTTCTTTTATATTCAGGATGCTGTAAAAACTAACCACAGGGCTCAGGTAATTTTCAAGTTCATGTACCGACCAGAGTATGTTAGAGTGGGTAGTCGACTGCTTTTCAGACAGGGCACAACAAAAGGTGTTGGTGAAGTTATAAAAGTGCACCCTTATATTGACAACCCTGCAAGGTAAATACACGGTGAAAGTTAGCTTACAGCAGGGTGATACATAATTGCAGGGAATTTTATACTGCCCCTTAACTGCTTGTTTCCATATTTATTATACTGAGTGGAGTTATACCCTTAGAAATATAATCAAAGAGAGATACAGACTCAAATTGAAATTTTTAGCAAATTTTGCATGTTGTGCCAGTCTTAGGTTTATTTTGATAATTTTTTTTGAAGTTTGAAATTCTTATATATATTCTTTTATTGTCAATATTTTGCATTTTATAACATATTTTCTAATTATATTTATTGATGTGTGCTTTTGTTTTTTAGGGGTTTCTTTTTTTAAGAAAATTATCTTCTCATATTGTAACCCATTTGTGAATTGTTAAGTACAAAGAGAGTTGAAAGCTTTAAAAATAATTGTAGTTTACTATATTTTATGATAAATGTAGGCTTATATACAGTTTTAATCTTTTGAGCTTTGAAATTAGTTCTTTTCTCCAAATTTGCCTGTTGGTATGTTTAGACAAAAACATATGTTCTGGTATTTTAAAAGTTGTTACCATTACACCTTTAAATTTTTTGATTAAGTTACTGCCATTAGTAATAATCATAAATCACCATGTATCTTCATTAAATGTTTTAATAAATGATCTCCCTTTCATGTAAACATTTTTATAAATCTCCATATATGTTGAGTGACTTTGTTGTTGTATATCGGCATTATATAGCAAAGAAGAGGGCTTTCATATGATTGTGAAGTGTGGGGCTTGGTGAAGTTTTTTGTTATTTTCTTTGTTAATGATTGATTTAGAGCAAAATAAACTAGAAAATTGGTTTTGATTCTAGTCTTGTAATGCATTAAATGAGACAGTCATAATACTTCAAATTGTTGTGAGCAAGATTAATTTTCTTTGAAGTTTTTTTTTTATATTTAAGATTATGAGAATATTTTTGTATTTTGTCCCTGTTTTCTGTTCATGGTGTGTTTTAGAAATTCTACGATATGTTTTAGAATTTCTTTTAAACCTTACCTGAACTTATCTCTTATTTGTTAATTTTAATTTTTATAATTGTGTCTAGTTTGATAGATCATTTGTAAGCTTAAACCACAACTTGAGTGCTGATTCTGAACAAATATAAATTATTTACTTTGATTATAATTGTTATTTTAATAGTTTTAGCTAGAAAATTACTTTTCATTGGAATATTTCTGCTTGGAATTTAATTATATTCTTTGACATTGGTGCAGTTCTTATAATTAAATATTTTATGTTTGAAGGAAGTTTTGTTCTCAACCTTAAAACATTTTAGTTCTTAAATAAGTATTTAACACATTCCATTTTATTTGCTGACCTAATTAAAATAGAATCTTGAAAATTAAATGAGCGTGTTTTAACGTTAAGTATTTATTGAGAGTTTACTGTATAATTAAGTTGTGTTGACTTTGAAAAATATTCAGCATGACATCAGTTGTATTGTTTTCTTCCTATTTATTTTGTTTGTCTTATGATATTTTATTACAATGCCTCTCTGTTGAGCTTTATGCAAGGTACTAACTAGGTAATAGCAATGTTCTAGTACTGGTTTTATGTACCACAAAATTACGGCTTTCAAAATCTTTAACTTTAATGCATTTTTTATCTTTTTTATTGATCATGTAAAAATATTTTTTAAATGTTGTAACAGTATTGTACTTGATGATTTTTTATTTGTAATAAAACTAACCAAATTTCCACTGTAATGTTCAAGATAATGGATAATTTTTAACTAGACCTATTATAAGAAAACCTTCCTTTGTTTCTAGATTTATTTAAGTCTTGGAATATGTTACTGTATGTCTCATCATTATTATTGAATCCAGTTATTTGAGAATAAAATTTGTTGAAGTTTAACAGCAGAGTTCTTGTTATTTTAATCGGATGGTAACAAGTATTAGAAATAATTTATTTGGTAAAGCTGGACTTGTATGATAATATTTTGTTGTGATATTGTTGGATTATGAAGTGATGCGGACAATTTGATTGGTTTATACAAATTTATTTTAGTTTGATTGTGTTGGAAGCTATAAGCTTATTGAAACACTCTCGAATCCGTTCCTGGAACCAACCAGTACTAAGCAATGAATGTAAAGTTTCTTGCTCAAGGAAACAACGACTTGCCCCTGACAGGGTTTGAACCCATGCGGTCAGCAATCCTTAGATTACTAGTCCGACGCGTTAACCACTCGGCCACGCCGCCACACAATTTGATTGACATCTCTTCTATACTAATGACCATTACACAAAATTCCAGTACAAGCATAAGACATAATTTGGTTTTTGTGAACAGTCAGCCTTTCATTGGTCAATGACTATTGAGGATAACATCCACATATAAAATAATTCTTACTGTTTTGGAATTGAACTTTTGAATGTTGGGAGAATTCAATAGAAATTGTTTACTGTATAAAGCTATATATCTGTTACCCATAGTTTTCAAAAAAAAAAATATTTTTAAGCCCCCGGGCATATATTAATTGATCTATCTATCCGTCCGTCAGTAAGAGGTACATCTAAAACGGCAAGTTGGATTAAGTTCTACCTGTACCAATGACTTCATAATTTACACACTTATCAATACTAAGTACAGCCTTTATGTTTGTGCCTAATGTTTTCATATTTGAAAGGATGATAACTTGCATGGTCTTCTTCCTTTGGATTTAGTTAGCGGTCAGTTCGATCAAGGTCACCTGTGCTAAGAATAAATTTTTACACATTTGCCCATACAGACTTTATTTATGGACACGTTTTTCATAATAGGTAGGAAGATATATGGCATTGTCGTCTAAATTTGGATTGAGTTAGTGCTCAGTGGGTCAAGTTTAGTGTGCCAAAAATAGATTTCTACACATTTGCTGACAGGCCTTTATTTATAGACTGATGTTTTTCATATTTGGAAGGAACATACCTCGGATGGTCCAGTGTTGGGAGTCAAAAGGTCGAGGTCACTTGTGCTAATAATATATTTTATACAGCCTTTGTATTTTTTCCAGTCTCTAAGGTGGTCCTTTAAGTTTGGATGGAATAAACTCCTAAAGGGTTACTGTGGTCAAGTCTTGCATTTGTAAATATTTGATAAAGTTTTATTAATAAGTTGAATATTTTTCAACTTCATTATTTGTGTTTAACAAACACGTTCTTGTTTCGAAAATGAATACTTCCAAACTGGTAGTTTGTCATTGTGTGAAATAAACCAACTTTCTAACAATGTTCAGGAGGAATACTAGTCAGTCAATATTATTGGTTAACAGTATCACTCGTCTAAGAGGTTTACCCCTTGTAAATTTTATTGTACAAACCCTCGGAAGAGTGCTTTTAATGCCCATTCGGTTATCTATTTCATCAAACGCATTTTCAAAAAGGCAAGGACAAAGTTCATACCTTTAAACTAGGAAAAGGTACGTTACATTTCAAGCAGTAAGATAAAATTAATACATGGTAGTCTCTGATATGTGAACAACTTTATGCTGAAAGTATAATAGACAACTTTAATCACTCTAAAACGCATTTGCGTCCCCTTTCTCAAACTGGAAACACTGTCTACTAGTATTTGTTTTTTGCATAGTTGTGCTTACGATATTCAAATATTACAAGCGTAGTATGTACGAAAATGTGAAATTTCAACAGCACACGAGACGTTGTCTACTGTATACAAACGAATTACACAATTTCTAATTCCAAACTTTTAAATTATTCTACATCTACCCAAGTATCTCTGAACAGTAGATTCCTGCAATTTTCTACATTTTATATTGATGACTGAAAAGAAACCACGAAAATCAATAACCAGAGGATATATGTAAAGATTCTATTTTTTTTATTTAAATGCAAACAATACATATAATTATATGAACCGGGCGGGCAACTGTCTGTGTATGCTACATATCATTCACATGCAAATAAATTAACACTATGGAGTTCGATTCTTATCTAAGATTGTACATCCATTAACTCCCAGAGATGATGCATGAGAACTTTAAAGTTGTTAAGGTAAGAACTTTTTAATTTGATCAAGCGGGACAAATGCTTAACAATATCTACAAACATTAAAATTAAAATTACTTTCTTCTGGAGCTTGAAGAAGCAATAGTCTTTCTTTTTTTGGTTGTGTCCCATATTCAAAAGAATTAATAGTTGTGTCACAACTTTTAAGAATTTAGTTATGAAAGTGTTTGTCAACTTTGGAGCAGTGTGATAATTTGTCTATTACTAATATTATTAAATATGTAATAGATAATCCAAAATGATTTACCCAATATTATTTTTTAAAATGGAGGAAAAAGGAATCCCTAAAGAAAGCCCAACACGGCAAAATTGAAAATGTTGCGGGCTCGGTTTGATTGACCCTGTTCATGGACGGTACTGGAAAGTGAGAGTTACCGGCCACGCCCTCTAGAACCGGCTTAAGCAGAATTCAACATTTAACACGAAAATGGTGAAATTTTGAATTTAAAACATCCGCAGATGTGTTCATTCGGCGGTTATCCTGGAACGTTCAATGTGACACAATAGCACCATTTCATGAAAAGCGGCATATGGTCCCCAAGTAAAAGAAGAATGCGTATGCCCAAACGAGAAAACAATGGGCGGAATTAAGATGAATTTAGTCTAATTAACATTATTATGAACTAGGGTTTTCTTAAATCTTAGAAAATTTCACGTGACAGTTGGTACAAATAATTTTAATTTGAGACTACTAAGCGCAGAATTAGATCATTCACTAACCAAATATACATGTAAATCGTGTAGCATAAACAAATAGTTTTACTTTAAAGTATTTGAATATTTTAATCTCATAAAAATGAAGTCACCTTACTATGCTTTCAATAAAATGTACAAGGCTGAATTGCAGCAAAATAGCCCAAAAATTAATCCGAGATTTACTAAAAAAAAGGTTTGCCAAAGAACGACACCTTTGCGTAAATATTCTCATGTACCTTTTTTGGCAAAGCTTCACTTTGGAATCTGTAACATGTACAAGTATATTGCTTAAATGATTTGTTATCTTAATCTTCTTATAAGGGTTTCGTTCGGTCAACAGTAAGTGACAATGAAATAATAATTTTTGATCTCATTACGATCTTTAGTTTTGGCACCAGAACTAACTATATACATGTACATGTTATACGGATTTTATACGCTTTATCGCCCTTAAACAATGCCGAATTGTGGCACATGCAGCTTTTGTCACGTTTTGATATTTTTTATCAAAATATTCATGTAGTTTGTTTTGACTGAGCGATTATTCTCCATGGCGCTATAAGAAAGTCAGCGACATTGGTGAGAGAAAATAGTCCCCGAATTGCAATTAAAGGAACATGTATACTCGTATTATATTGATGTGACTTGTTCTAATTTACCGAATATTTAATTCACTGAGAACAACGGTGTCTTTTCTAAAACTTTAATAATCAAGACAGTTTCAATAGATTGTGGTACTCATTATTATCAGTATCCCCTCCACCGTCTCCACCAAGTTATATTTTTGGTTTTACAATTTTGTCATAAACTGTATCGTCCTTCGCTTACAAGATAAGAATAGTTTTATCTATGTTCCCTATGTCATTTAAACCATGTTTATCATATTCATCGTAGTCGTTATTATTATATTACCATAACTGTTTTATTTCCCTTATTAGCATGATAATGCTCATCATCATGTTTTATTTGATCAGTTTGTATAATCACCAAACCCTTGTCTATCATGACCAATATGTTACTAACCAACATCTTTGCACCGACGCCTTCGCTTTCGTTTCTTCCTTAATTTTCTACCACTTATTCAATGTCATTTATAATATCAAAGCATCTTTATCATTAACTTTAGTGTACGTAGATATTTAACACATTGTATTCTAGTTTTATGTAGATATTTGACACATTTTATTCTAGTTTAAAGAAAACTCTGTCACCCGACAATAATGAGATATTGGAGGGATGTAGACAAAGATAGTCTGTAGTGTGTGTATAATATATTTACCTTTAACTATGTCAATATTTTCTTGTTGATTTCATGACCACTTTAAGTGGAAATCGAGTGTTTGTTTTATGTTCTAAAGGTATTTTCACTTCAGATAATGATTGGGTAAAACAAATATTTTCTTTCCCCCTATCGACAGATAATCTGTCATTTCTCTGTGATCAGCAAGGTGGGTTTAACATTTTTAATTCCACTTAGAAGTCCTTTGATACAGTGTATTGCTGAATGGAACCATTTGTTAAAAACTGATACCGTTTCATATAAGATAATATTTAAACTCTGGAGAGGGAAACAATTTTAAAGGAAATGTGTCATTAAAATAACAGGTCTGTTGGAGGAAAATGGCCGTCTTTATACTTCAGTTTAACTTGTAGCGCATAACATGTTTCACTAGTAGTCTAACAGTTACAAAACCTCTGCTTCTGTTGCAATTATTTTTTCCGGCTATGGACCCGCTGTTTTGATAGATTACATTAAAATTTACTTAAAGTTAATTATTTTTATGACTTATATGAGCTGTGTTTCACTGTACGTGCCTTGCAAGGGACTATACTTTTGACCGGTGCTCTCTATCTCTTTTGACCTTTACCTTCATATTATACATATATGTACATATGTACATGTTAGTACATATGTACATGTTAACTCTTTCTTTAATTAATTTAAAAGAACTGTAACACACAAATGATATATGTATATACATCTTCGTTTAAATCATTTTACTTAATGATATCATAACTAGGTAAATATATATATTCCTTACATTGAAATCACAGTTTAAAAACACACTTCGATAGTTTTTATATTCAAATATGTATACATTGTATATATTTACATTATAACGAAAAATGAATTTTCAACATTTGGAATACATGCACACATACCGTGCACGTAATTTAAAAAAAGGTCTTTCTTTGGATTAATTTCGTTATATTAAAAAAGAGAGAAAAATGTTATCCTTGAAAAACGCACAAAACGACACAATTGTATTTAGCAGGGTAAGTTCGCAAACGCTATTGGTAACTGTAAGCTACCGTCCACGCTCCTTGGCACCGGCTTAAGTAGTATCAAATTCGAATTTGAAAACATTTGTAGATGTTATAATGACAAATTAGAATCATTTCATAAAAAGTGACGTATGGTCCCTAAATAGAGAATGCGTAACCCTTAAACAGGAAAACGATGGGCCATAGAACTAAAATGAATGGATTTTTGAAAGGAAATCAAAAGTTATGAAACCGGTATATCACAGTCAAAAGAAAAGTTTAAAAAGCAGGAGGATAAAGGTATTTTTAAATCTCCGTTACAAATGTACTGAAAAAAATGTTCAAAATTAAAGCATATGTTTGTTAAATATATTTTTAAGGTCATTGTATCAAATATTAAACCACATAATCGCTCTGAAATAATTTTTTTGCTTTGTTTTTTCGCCCACAAATTTATAATTTTTCTGCTAAGTTTTTTCCGAGGTCACAAATTAATTCTGAACTTTTCTTTTGATTCTTTGACGCAATTATAAATCTTGAAATAAAAATGCTTAAGTAATTATAACAAGAACGAAGTAGATGGATTAATATCACAAACACAGTATTAACAATGTCAATCACAAAGATCAGATTAAAACTTTTTGATCGGAAATTTGAAATAAGATACTTAATCCATTGGATAAAGTCTAAACGGTATGCATTTAACATATAGTTAGCAAAGGTTCTATAACTGGCATTCAAGCCAAATACAATAACTATACAAGCGACGAAATAAAAATGCGCGGACTGTAAGAAATAAGAACTTATTGATGAAATGTTGAACAAAGTGGTAGAATATTGATAAAGATTGTGTCTCCAATCAGCGTTATTTTTCATTCAATTTTGCTTGCTCCAAGTTCTGAAATTTTAAAAGGCAAATATTCGATAGATATTGGATTTTTTGTGTAAACTGAAATATTTAAATATTATCAGTTTTAAAAAGAGCGAGGCTCAGTGAATACGTAACTTGTTTAAACTATTCAGTGGCAAATTTATTTTTGTTAATACTGGATGTTTATGGCTAAATAAGATTACTAACTGAAAGGTATGTTTTATGACTTCTTATTTGTTCAGGTTTCTATCACGTGTTGAATTCTTAAATTTTCGTATAAGTGAAAAAATAATGCGATGGCAAAAAAAAAACAAAAACGTTTTGTGGTGAAATATTGATACATTTGTTAGATCATTAACAATGCGTGAAATAAGTCATCTAAGGCTTATGTAATTAATATGTATATAGTTTACTCAGAATGGCTGGGTGCTAAGACAAGAACTGTCTGTTTTATAAATATCAATTAATCAAATTATCATTTTACTTTATATATATCTGTTAATAATCACCACGTTTACTATTTTACAACTATCGCGATTCATATGATATAACAAACTTTCTTTTTATCAGTTTTAATAAATTTTCTTTTGGTAACACAAATATATGGTTTTAGTACAATAAAGATATTCATGTGGAATAATCTTTAATTTAGTGGATTGTAGAGGGACAGTGTGATAGATTATTACGCGTTGAATAACCGTGTGGATTTTATGAAAGCATACAAAGAAGGTTAATTAGACGAAGAATATAAAAGTAGTACATGCTGAAAATGCTAGTAAAATAGAATCTTTACATTATCATCCTATAATAAAAATAGTATGCTCTAAAAGTGCAACCCAATTTTCTTTCTTAAAGCTTTTGAAATATGTTAAATACATTATTAGACACCGGTTAAAGATACCTTCTTGTAGATAGTATATGAAGGTTATTAGTTCAAAAACGAGATATTTATAATTAAGTGATACATTCAAGGGTTTAGACCGGAATATAACAGGCCATATTGTCAAAATAACCCTAGTTTGTTCTGTTCAAATAATTTCATCTTTATTTACACTTTGCTATATATGAACACGTAATAAGACACTTTTCACAACTGCATTTAATTGTAAAAAGCAGGATTTAAACAAGTTTATGTTTATGTAGAGAGAAGATTTAGATAAAGTGTACCAAAGTTTATCAATCTACACTCTCATGATTCACGAGTGCTTTTGTTTGTAAATTGTCTTTTCATGCCCGACACTTAACTATACACAATGTCTATTTTGATAAGATAGAAAATTTGGATTCTTCGGGCTTTTAAAGCTAAGATAAATTTATTTAAATAATTGAAAAAGCCTTTTTAAATAGCAAAATGTCATGTCGACGAAAAATGGGACTCACTCTGTCATGTTCATTGACATCGCGTTAGTTTATTCTCATTTTTAAGGCTTAAATTTTATGGTATTTTGTTTACTGCATTCCTAATGGTGCCAAATGCAAAAACATCATTACATGTGAGAATTAAACATGTAATAAAACAGTACCTATTTTTGTTAATAACAAGGAACATTAAATCCCAGAAATAAAGGAAAAAATCTCATGTGAGCTTTCATCTACTCATGTGTCCCTTCGTGACAGATAATGGACGGATGGACATTTGGGGTCTCCCCTACTTACTAGTAAAGAAGGACAGCAACAATATGACCTTGACTTATAACCCTCTAAAATCATTTCAATCTTACCAATAACTTACCCGCGCAATCATTTTAATCGATTCAACATCTATAAGCTACCCGTGCAATCATTTCAATCTATAGACGTAAACATTTACTATTTTGTTGATAGAAGTGCATAACAACATTATTTCGATCTGGTCTTTTCATTTTTCTTTCATCTTTTGTCATTATTTCATTTCTTGTATTTTACAGTTTTTTAACATTTCAAAATTGTTAACATTCCATTTACATTAGAATTTTAGAAGTAATTAACATGTCAATAATTTTGTACGATAAACAAAATAACAGCGACATAAATGGAGTACCAGTGTATGCAGACAGGTACAATATTTGTATGAACTCGACTGACAAATATTAACTCTGTCAAATTAGTTATAATAAATGACATTGAAATTGTTTTTCTAATTAACATTGTTTCGGTTATTCCCGGTGATAATTTAGAAAGTATTTGAATAGAAATTAACTTCTTATCTTTAAACTTTAATTTCATTTAGAATTGTTTGTTGACACATGTTTGACAAAAAGCAGCATTATCGAATACTATAGATGGGGGATTCATTTAGTTACCGTATACCAAAGCAATGACCAGTCTTTCGCCCGTTGATCACTTTCCTTTTGAAACCGCTGTTTATAAATTAGTAAAGTTTCAAAGCTTGACAAAACCATTACAGAAATCATGCGAATGAATGAGAAATAAACATATAATGATAGATAATTTTAATGCCTTCGATCATAGAATGAGTACTTCCTTAACATGATTGTCACATCATACGAGTTATTTCTTGCGAAAACGCAGACGACTTTGATCGAAATTGGTTAAAAATACCGGAAGATAGCTGTTATTTAAAGTTTTCATTTAAAAAAAATGTTTATAAATAGCGTTCATTAATTGCTCTTACTGTTTGAAGTTGGCAGTGATGTATTGCTACGTGTAATGGTGTTATCAATTTTAAAGACAGCCGTACATAAGAACTCATTTAAATGTTCAATCGTATCGGCACTGATATCAATTTTCTTTGAGAGGAATCGATGTTAATGTGCGAAATGGTTAAAGGAGGTGTCATATATATCACGGCTTTATAACATGAATTATTCATTATAAACAATAGCCAGTGAGAGGAATTGTGTTAGATACAGGCTAATGTGACCTCAAACAGATTTATGGCGAATCAAGACCAAATTATTTTCGTTTTTTGGCGTTTCCCAACACAAATCCAATACAATACTTGTTAGAATGTAAAAGTAAAATTAGACAAAGATATATCGTTTTTCAGGTATATAAATGGGAAAATAAAAGGTTTGATGTTGAACGGAATAGATAGATTTAACATTACCCATTTTGCACAAGTCTGAAAAATATAGCGTGGTGGAACTGAAAACAAGAAGGCACATACTATGCATTGCATTTGCCATTAGGCTATTATCCGTTGAGTTCGACGTTCGACGATTCTAGCAGTCAAGATTACAACTCACAGATGATCTAATAATAATATTTAAATGATGCCTAAAGTAGATATGAAAGCAACATACTCAATTGTGTCTCTTTAGTACACTAATGTAATCATTTTTGGACGTCCAGGTGTTTCTGTTTCAAAATATATAAATATCAAACACACATCTAATTGTTCGATATCTTAACGTTGCTAACATGACTTGTTATATTTTCAAATCACGTTGCAGATTTTATGATACTGGAATTGCAATACGTTCCATATCAGCACCGGCTGCCAGGACATTCACATACATCTTGCCAATTTATGATTGAAAACTGGCTTTATAAGGCTTTGTTACTAATGCTTTATCTATAAAAATCTGTCATTATAGCATGTACAGTAATTAAAATAAATGTATGCACACTGGCAATTCTTTGAAGTTATAATGTATAGTTTAACACGCACGGAAAATGTCTTAAAATTCTAAATATGCATAAAAACACGTGCCAATTTTATATGAAAGCTACATCTGGCGCAAAAGCATGATAATAAATACTTTAAGAATAAAAAGATGATACCTGTTATATCACATTTCTTTATGAAACATATGTTTACATTATGTTAGTAATTACTGTCGAACTGCCAACATTTTATCATCATAACAAAATATTCGAATATTGAGAATAAATTCCTATGTCATGCAAAAGGATAAGTATTGTATTTTAGACAGACTAAAGTTTATGATGGTTGATATTACTATGACGACTGTTTAGATGAAATACGTATATCATAAATGCTTTATGAAAATATGTATCAACAATTCATGTAGGAGTATATATAATATTTATGACTTAGCTAAAATAAACAAGGCGATGCTTTGAAGATCGTTTAGCACGAGATAATTATTGTGTCTATGGTACTTTTAGTTTCCTACATTGAATAGTTCTATGATAACTTCCGCATGAACAAATCTGCGTATGCTTTTAAATCAAAATTATTCCATTTCATGTTAACTACTGATTTCTGCTAAAGCGGTGCTAGGGGGCAAGGCATGGACGTGAACATGCTAGATCAAACAGAGCCAACAATATTTTAATTTTTCTGTTTTGAGCGTTCTACAGGGACTCTTTTTCCTATATTCTATTTTTGATTTCGTGGTGTGTTGACCAATAACTCATTACATTTATATAGCTGTTAGAAGATGAGTCGACAATTGTAATAGTGAAAATTCTATCTAAATATATTGGAATATCTGTTTTATTCGACAAAATGTCCGTTTGGTGCTATATGATTCAGCTTCTTTAATGGATCAATAGATTCTCCATTGGGCAGAAATCACTTTACGCATTATTATGTCCGAAAACCCTTTCCTTTGAGATTAGTGTGAGTGCGTTCAAGTTGTTGACAACACTGCTTGAAGCATTCATCTTGTTTGAAAAAACATTTTTATCAATCCATTAAATAGCTTGACATCGTGTATTGCGGCTATAAAAGATGTAATTCCGCACTTACAGATTAACATCTGAGCGAAGCTGAGCAGAGTTAGATTTCCAATACCTGAAATAAATGGTGTTGTAATTTGACTTAACGTTAATTAAATCATCGATAAAGTCACAACCAGTCATGTTGATACGCACTCAGATAGTCCATGTTTCTCTAGCTATATTAACATTACCTACAATATCGCCTAAATAGTCGTCATCATGAAACAAGCTCAGTCAAACCGAGTCTGCAACCGTTTTAAATTTGGTCGTTTTGGGCGTTCTTTAGCAATTCCGTTTTGCTGTATTTTGCTTTCATTGTGTAACTGTCCATTGAAAAAATATCACGAATTTCAATATTGTAACATAAAAGTCTAGTGCCATGTCAGGTTACAAGGGAACGCAGAAAAAAACTTGTCGTCTGTATAGGTTAAGTACTAGTATCGGTGGTTTGTGCCAATGATTTTAGTCTCCCAAGGCTTAAGAATAATAAATCTTATAAAGTAGGAAATGAGTTAGATGTACACGTATATGAATTATTTGGACATTGTTCTAAAAGAAAGACGGTGCATTATATATTCAAT